AAATTGTACAGGTTGATATAATTACAGTGCAAATTATGGTTGTAATTTTGAATCTTAATTATGTAGGTTGGTTTGCCACAAATTTCCTCACGATTTTAGTCGTTGAGATAATAGTAACCATCTACATACGCTTTAGTTTCTGCATAGGTTTTCAGAAAGGTCTTATTCCTTGAGACTTTGATACATGGTCTTCGGGATTCCTCCAGTACTTGACATTATAAGAGGACTTGTATTCTCATTATGACAGCATTCCGTTTTTGCAGGATCGACTCCGGGAGATGCACATTTCTTAATCTTCTCTGTACTTCAATTGAAAGTGGGCAGAATTCGGGATAGTCACGTCAATAACGGCTGCCTGTTTTCTTTATTGAGCTGGTGAGTGGGTGGAGCAAAACGGAATAGCTAGCCCAGACAATATATACTATGAGGAAGCCAATTACTACGAGAAAGCCTGTGTCATTGTGTAGCACCACTAGTTTGTTTTGGATAACTTTATTCTTAGCTAAAGTGAATAGCGTTTCATGCCATCACGGATTAGGCATCATTACTGAACTTTCAACTACTATGAAACTGCTGCTACTGAATACGCCAGTTAGAGCAGATGAAACAGTTATTCCGTGGAAATACTTCCATTGCTGCTCTTGCTCGGACATATCCACGGACAAGAAGCGCAATTCTGCAGAACCCCTCTGGCGGTGCGAGTTACGTTGAAATTGTGCCTTGTACCCCAATCCTCATCTGTAACATTTCACAGGCGCAGCGTGTGTGACATTGCGCACGGTCGTTGTTTTCCAAAGGGCGGTTTATGTTCCTTTGTATGTTCGAAACGTTTATTTGAAAGTCCTAACTGTCTCTTTGTCGTAGACCCGTGTACAAAAAATGAGAGCTGAATGAAAGACTCGGTTTTCACGGTGATATTATATTTTGTAGAAATACGGATGTGCCCAGCAAATAGAGTTGCGTAAATGGTGTTCCGTTTGAAGCGACTTCCGGAAAGTGCAAGCTGCTCTCCCGCTCCCCTTTAAAAGGACTCGCGATCTGTTGACAATGAAGGTTTGCAACGGCTTTAGACATACTATTGATGGAACACTTAATTAATCTTCCTTCGAGATCGGTACATACCTATATAGCGGTAACTGCTGTGGAATACTAACTGGCGTAAGAATCTTGCTAAGGCACTAATGTGATTAGCAAAGACAAACCACTGAATGTGTCATGTCAACTAATTGTTCAACTACCTGTTTGGGAATAGAATAATCAGAGCTGTGAAAGTGATCGCCAATATCTCGGTCGATGTGTAACAAGAAACTGTAGATGAAGAGCAACAACACTTACAAGTAGCGTCAGTTCTTGCTGTAATATATGAGTAAATAATTCAAGTTGCTATTATCTTCACTACAGTTTTCATTCTTACACATAAGTGGTCGACGGTTAACCTATTGAGAACCGCTGTTAAATCAACTTTATTATTTATTTAATACCGCTCTTTTCACATGAAGATGGAAATAAAGAATCATTGAAAGTATCCCAGCCCAATTTCTTAATTGTGCGATTGAAATGGTCTATAAACCTTACCAACAGGCCACCACAATACGATTTTTATGGTCCTAAACCTCTGTCTCGGAGTGAGTATTGGACCTATAGACGAGCGAAGATGGAGTTTTGTTAGCATTCTATACCGAAGTGTAAAGACGTTCAGCGAAATCGTTACCTGAAACATTACACGACCGCATTTTCCAGACAAGATTCCCAAGCGGAAATTAATTTCCCTTGCAAGAAAAGGGAAATTCCTTTGACTGCCGCTGGAGGCGCCCGCAGCACCACAGGTCGCTTCCGGAGAAGTGGGGAAGGGGGAGGAGGAGAAGGGGGTAGCTGACCTGAAAACGATCCCTGCGAAATCTGTATGGCTCCGGAGATTTTCTTTCGCGGCCATTACAAAAAAGCAGCCACAAAATGGGAGCTTGTCGAATAGAAAAAAAAACCACAAAAATTTCAAGCTTCTGGAAATTACAAAATTGTGCTTTTTGGTGACAAAAGAAAGACGGTCGTTAGTAAATAATATAAATTTGTGAATGTTACTTAAGACACGACATTTTTTTGTGTAGGAAAAAAATAAAGTAGTTGGAAAGTCAAATTTAATAGATGAGGCAGAATAAATATTGTGCTTTCATTTTTCGAATTCATCTTCACGTAAGTTCGTGATTGGCAAACGAATTTGTGTTTTTACGTTGTCCGCATATTGACCGACCAAGGAGAAGATGGAAAGACTAGTTATAATTCTTGGAAAGGAACAAGTCTTAGACTTTTTAAGAAGATGAAGGAGAAGAAGCCGTTGTCCGCAGCAAAATCAATTTTGTCCTGTCCTTAATGAGACTTACAGGTTCGACATTATAGTACCGAAAATATAATTACATTTCTTCTAAAATTCTGTAGTTTGGAGATTTATTCCTGGAATTGAACAGTTCCGTTTCTATGCTCGAAATCTAGGCATCTATAACGATGGAAATTCTTAGAAATTAAGTTTGATTCGTAGAAATGAAGTTTATTCCCAAGTGTCATCATTGCATCGGTTCCCTTTATATCAATTGTTTTATCATTTTCAATGTAGGTTCTTGATGATTCATTGAGCAGATCATATTAAATTAAACTTTTTTTCTTGAAAGAAAAAAAAGATCTTATAGTCAAATATCATTCAACAGCTCATCATAGAGTCAGGTTCACATTCTGCTGGGCTTTACCTTTTAAATTCCTGGGCGATTAGGCATCATCTTACAATGTTTGGTATAGAGTCTTCAATCAAATATTTTTTCAACCTGATCCGATATAAAGAGAAGAATAACTTATATATCCTTCCCGTAATTTATACCTCTCGAATCCTCAGTTCCATTTTGGTATCTCTTTTCTGATTGATGCGATATAGCATTTCTGTGATTTTACTCGTACATCATAATCATTACCAACTCCATGAGATAAAAGAAATGGGCTGTTATTATCTTAGGTATTGTAGTGTTGGAATTTAAACTGTTTTTTTGGAGGGGCCGGCATTTTCTCTCCTTTAGGTTCATTAGTAAGAGGCTGTTTAGGAATGCGGCAGTCTTCTATTCTATTATAATAATCAAACGAAATTCCTCTTATACTTTTGACTAATACACTTTCCATCTTATAACATTTAAATCAATCAAATAATATTAATGGACTTTTGATTAAACTATAGCTGAAGTTGTAGAGTTACCTTTTTTTGGTTTGCGTTCAAAGAACATTACTTTTACAAACTTTACCATTATAATTTTTTTATTAATTATATTTAATTGTGACCGCTTTTATACAAGTATTGTAGCGTACAATTTAATACTAGGTGTTTGTGTCGTGTATAGAGTTTCTGAAAACTAATTGGGCGAAGAGTAGTAAGTAAAATATTTAAGTGTCCGACATTTATTTAATAATGCGTTTTGTCAATTCATGCCTAGTTGATTTCTAGTAGACACCGTTGTGCTCTTTTGTGTAGTAAGCAAGTATAATCCATTAAACTCATTTTTTTTGTCGTAGGCGTGCTTTTGGTAATCCTTTGAACTCTTGTGTGTTTTCGTGACGAATTTTGTTTTCAGTCGATTGAACTCCAGTGTGGAGGTAGGATCATTCGTTTGTGGGCTGCAAGAGTGGTAGCATTCCACCAACAACTCAAACAATCCGATATTGTGATAAATGTGTTTGCAGTTTTCACCTTGTATTGAAATACTTCATTGTTCCAATCTGCCATTTGATGGTGGAATACTGTAGTAAAAGAAATTTTGCAGTTGCTGTTTGAAGGTAGATGAATGTGCAGTGCAGGAGAGTGAGTTCGCTTTCTTCTTTCTGTCTTTCTTTCTTTCTTTTTTCTTTCTTTTTTTTTTCTTCTTTTTTTCCTTTCACTATTGCAACCAACGAGCACATTGTTGCGCGTGTTGCCCCATGCGGCGTGCGGCACGCGCGCTTCGCGGTGCGCTGCGTCCCGCGTGCCAGGTCAGCGCGTGCGCGTGCGTGTGCGCGGGCGCTGGGGCGGACGCTGCGTCTTGGGGCGTGCACGCACGGGTCCGCGCGCGCGCGCGCGCCGCCTTTGAAGCCTTCCACGACGCCGCCCTCCGGAGGCGACGCCCCGCGCGCGGGCGATCTTCTGCCTGCGTGAGCGGCCGGAGCGCCGACCCGTCCGCAAGGCCGCGACCGGCTTCGGTGGCTCGGGGCAGACACGGCAGTGCATCTGACCGGGAGGTCCTTGTGTGGCAGGGTTTTCGATCCTAGCAACGTCGAATTCAGTCGCTGTCTGCCGGAGGACTTCAGCGGCCGGCTGCTCTGATTGGTAGTTTTCCGTGGTTTCTCCGATCAGCACCAGGCGACTGCCGAATCAGTACCCTAACAACCGGGTCACGGACCACGTGCGATCTTTACTTCTCCTACCTTGTCCTATCCTCAACATATCTTCCATACACTTACATGCACTAGACTATCACACATGGTGGGAGTCCAGTCTGGAGGTTGGAACTTGTTCCAGCTGGAGGAAGGTGAGATATGCCTCGTTGGGGAAACCCCTGAAGCCGACGGTAGATAGGCACCGAATGTAGCCGTCCGGCGGGGGAATATCACAGTCACCGCCCGCGATAAAAGCATGTACAACTCTTACGGGACTAATGACCTTAGCAATTGACGCCCCCGGAAACAATCAATCAATCAATCAATCAATCAACCAAACCGCGAGGTTGCGTGCTTCGTAGGGGCCGGGAACCCTGGCGCGGTGTTGCTGCTCTCTGCCAGATCGTTTGCTTTCCTCTTGAGTTACAGGTTTCAAATCCCAGCCGCTCCGTACGAAACTTGTGGTGGACGAACCTGATATACAGCAAGTTTTCTCGGATATCTCGTTTTCTCTGAGTCTTCATTTGACCGTATCTCGACTCAATTGCTTTTCTACTAAACTGTGCCTTGACTCAACTACGTCTAATCTCATCTACATCACGTCTCAACGTCTTTACTCAACTGCGTCTCGACTCAGCTACCTTTCGGCTCAATTGAGTCTGCAGTCATCGTCACAATTATCTATCCATGAAAGTAACTCTTTGGTTTCTGTCAAGTGCTTCTATAATTATGTTTAGGTATCATGAGTTTTGGAAAAATCTTGATCGTCGTGCAAAGCTACCTTTAATGATCATTCAGATGATTTTTCTCCTTGTTTGCTGTGTCGCATTTGTAGAAAACATTGATATGAATTGTGAACGTTTTGGTTTTGGTTCTCATTAAGCTTCTTAGCCCTTTCCGTTCCGTTACATTTTCTTCCTCTTGTTATATTATTCTCCTTCAATGTTCACTTCTGTTGTTTATATTAATTCTTGTCCACAGCGTATTGTTTCTTTAATGTTCTCTTTTATTATCCCTTGTGCTTAGTCCCATTCTCCTATTGTTTTTATTTTTCCTTCGTGTCTTTACTCAATATTTAATGTTCGTTTCTGAAGTTTGGTCAGTCTTGCATACATACTTCTCGGAAATTACAGTTCTTATTTCCGAGCTGCAGCTTCTATTATAAAGATGTTACTGAATGATATTGCCCGTAACTTCAATTTTCGTGCTCGCCCGTTCGAAGCCAAGAGATGACGATCTCGCCTCTCGCACAACTTCCCTCGCAACGTTCGCTCTCTCGCCGCATCGCCGGCAATCTTCCCTCTCGCGCACCGCCCGTCGTATTGCTTTTATTTCTGCATAATCTGCGATCGCTCGGCGGTTGCCGCCATCTTGTGGTGGGTGCTTTGCCGTCCGTTTGCCTTCCCCAAGTAGCAGTAGCAGAAGCCGCAAAAAAAATTGCGAATTCTCACCCTCCGCGAGCGAGGCGTGGGAGTGGGCGAGGGTGTGGGTGCGGGGCGAGAGCGCGGTATGGCGAGGATGCGGGCGCTGGGAGTGGGCGGGTGGGTGCCGCCGCGCCGCGCCGGTCGAATCCAATCTGCTGCGCGCTGCCCGCAGATGTAACTTTCGCATCCGGCGACGGAGGCGCCGAAGGTGATCGTACGGAAAGTATAGAGATCACGGTGCGCGCGGTGGAAGCCATTGAGGAGCGAGGAACTGGGAGTTGAAAGTCCTAGAAGGGGTTGGAAGAGTGGGGGTGGGAGGATGACGCAGAAGTTGGTGAAGAAGTGGCGTAGAAGAACCAAGAGAAGGAAAATAAGGCAGAAGATGATGGCGTGAGGATATAGAATGGTCTTGTGGATAGATGTGGAATTGATGAGGCAGAGTGGTTATAGTCTAGAGAAAGTGACGAGTGGAATACAAGTGAATGGAATAATAAATTAAGACAAAGAGTATGATTTGCGATAAGGAAGATGATGCCTGAGAGATAGAGAAATACGTTGGAAGTATGTGGGAGTGAGTAGTAAGGAAAAACGGAATGGAGTTTGCGCTTCACGTTACGCAAGATAATTTCAAGAGGCTGCCAAAACTACTTGCGGCCCGGAGCGTGAGAGGCGGAGAAGAAATGGGGTTGCATGCGCTGCGTTAAATCATACCGGGATCACCTTTCGCTTATCTGTTCGTCCTTCCCATCTTCCACCTGCCCCGTTCGCGCTTTCGCCCGATTCTAAATATCTGCTCGGGGAATATCTATTTAACTTGGCCTCCTCAAAGGCTATACTTCGTTCTATTTTTCGTTCAAACTCCTCTTATTTTATCTACATGAAGGGAGATAGTCAACTGCTACCAAATACAACGATGGCTGCTGTGGTTACGCGTGCATCTTCAATATAAGATTCAAAAATACTGCGGGTTGTCTATTCGTCCTCTCTCAACCCGCATTTTGTCAAGTCTCTCGTCTACCTTTTAGGTGTTCTTTCTCGAGGATGGATTATGTATTTCCACATCAATTCACCTGCCGCACATTTCATTTTCTGTATCGCACCTTAATCTTTAATTTCTTTCTTTCAACACTAGTGCTTCTCTCTCTTATTCTTCGTCGTTGCGTTTCGTCCGTACCATATTCGAGGAAC